GGCCGAGGCGGCGAGAGTCGAGCTTCAGAAGAAGGCGCAGGCACTGCAGGAGTGAGGGTACCTACGGCGCCACCACCAAGAAGAGGTGGGCGAGCTGCTGGGCCAGATCCAGGGACGCGGGGCCGCGCAGGTCGAGGCGCGCGACGCCCTCAAGTGCGACGTGACGTCGGCACTGCGCGAGATCCGCGCCCAACGCGAAGGCCATGCGGTGCAGAGCACCTGCAGTCGGAGGAGTGGTTCCGAGGTGCGCATGCGCTTGGGATCTAGGGCGGGGCGCCCCCTGCTGTTCAGGCCTTAACCCGATGGGTGGTTTGACTGGAAGAGTTGGTCAACTCCGTGTGTTTACTGTACAGGGAGGGAGCGCTGCTCGCTTCCCTTTGTAAAGGTGAATAGGGACGCTCTATTCAAGTGCTTTTCTTGTGGGATGCTCCCAACTCTGGTTTTCCTTTGGTTGCCCTCTTCCAAAGGTCTGTATTTGAACTCTGGGTCCCCTCTCCTCTGCATGGTAAGTTAGGTGCTGAAATGTAGGACCATTCTCCCATCAAGAAAAGAACAGATTCCCTGGAGATCCAAAGTAGCGCTTTTTTTGTTTCTGGTCCACAGCACCTGCCTTTCCTGCCAACTCTGCAGAAGGGTCCCCATTCTTCTGACTCCTACCGGCTCCTCCCCACTGCTCACACACAATCTGCAGTGTGGAATGAAAGTCATTTTCACACCTTTTCTTCCTAGGGTGGGGTCACCCCTTTTGTGACTGAGGCAGTTTTCAAGCTCTTACTATCTCCCTTTCTTTCTCCACCACCCCAAGCTGGAAATCTCCCAAACACGGGCTCCCCTCTTTCCAACTTAGTTCAGTCCTGAGTCAGCTAGAATGCAGCTGCCCAGAAACTTCAGGGTGACTTTGACCAACACTGGGCCTCTGTGGTTTTCATTTCCTTTGTAGTTGTAGGCCCAGGTTAGACCAACTAGTCATCTAGGGTTTTCCAGGATCTCTCCTGAAACTGTAAAACAGTGCATTGTTCTGGGGAGAGAATACAGAAGTTTCAGTGATTTTTTTTTTTCAAACAAGTCCATGATCCACAATAGGTGAGGAGCCTCGCCTCCATGGTTTCTAAGTCTTTGCCTTCACTAGCAGAAAAAGCCAAGAACGCTGGGATTTGGAATTCTCTGTTCCTTTTCCGTCTCTCTGCAGTGGCAGAACCATCCCTCCATCTCTGCAGCAAGGCTTCTCCCAGCGGGGACCTCTCTCTGCTCTTGGGTTCCCCCTTTACTCAGATGGACAGACCATCTTGGGCCTCGTGACCCAACCAGATGGCTTCTCTCCACGAAGACTCAGGTCATCATCTGGGGATTCAGGATTTTCATTTTCAGGCCACGTGTGCTAGTCTTCAGACCTCCACTGGCCACCAGAAGGTCTTCTGAGAACCAGCAGCCAGTTGCTGACAGGGGTCAGGGTGTGGCTGCCATTGACTCCGGGACTGTTGTGCTAGAGATGTGCAGCCAGGTGGACAAAGGGACAAAAGGGCTGGAATACAGGCATCGGCTCTGCAGTGACCTTAGACTCTGCTCAAAAGCCTGCAAGGCTTCATGGTGACCTGACTGCTCACAGCTCCCATGTCTCCAAAAGTCACAAGCTTATTAACTTATTAACCACATGCCTCCAGCTTCCAAGCTCATACAAGAGTTCAGCCACATGAGCCATCATAGTTCACACATGAACCCCCAGCAGTACCAGTCCCCTGCTGGGGAGCTCAGGCATTGGGACAGAAACAGGGGCTTCCTTTCCCTTGCAGAGTTTACGGATCCCAAGTTGCAAGAGACAGAATCAGATCTTTGGAGTTAGACATTAGATGTAAATCCTTTTCTGCCACTCACTAGCTGAGTGGCTATGGGCAGAAGTCACTTGCCTGTCTCTTAGTGTGGGGTGAGTTAAGCATCCAGGATGGTGCCTGGCACCTTAGTAGGTCCTCCAATCATATGCATCACCTTCTGGCTCGAGGCATTGGAACCCAAATCCAGGTGTGCTGACCCTGTCCGTGATCCTTCTTCCATACAGTGAGGCTGGATCGACTGTCAGAGGCAGCCAAGGTGAACACAGATGCCATTCGCTCAGCACAGGAAGAGATAACTGAGTACCGGCACCAGCTGCAGGCTAGGACCACAGAGCTGGAGGCCTTGAAAAGCACAAAGGATTCACTGGAGAGGCAATGTTCTGAGCTGGAGGACCGTCATCCAGCTGACACTGTGTCCTACCAGGTAGGGTCAGACTGCCTCGCCTGGGTGGGTGACCCTCTTTGAGCAAGGATTTAGTGGTCAAGATGGTGGGCCTTGGAGTCAGACGTACCAGTACATCATCATTGCATAACTAAAAGAGCCATCTGCTTGCCAGAGAATTCCTCGGTGGTGAAGATAAACACCTGCTTTGCAGAGCTGTAAAGGTTAAACAGACAGATGAGCTTTGAAGTGCTCAGCAGGATCTTGGTCACAGTGGGCACTGGATAACAGTACCCAATGTCTGTGGGTAGTCTAGGGAAGGCTTGGGCATATTTGTCCAATGAAAGACAACAGGAAAGAGAAAATACCACTTTTAAACCACTTAGTATATCTGCAATATGTGGTGACTAGAGATATTCGGGAATAGACAAACAAAAAGGAGAAAATACAAGGCACATAATAATTCACTTAAAGCAGTGGCTACAGTGGGCCTGGAATGGAGGGAGAAGTTTCAACTTGTATTTAGTAAGCTTCTGTGTGTCGTCTGAGCCATCAGATCATCAGCACTAGCTATGTACCAAGCCCTGACTGTGGCAAATGCTTTAGCGGGCACTGGAGAAATAACAGGGAGAAAAAGCAGATAAGATCCTGTTCCCACTGAGCGTTTGCTAACTTTACATGATCTGTAAAAATTCACTCGTTGTCCTACTGACCAGACCAGCATCTGATATGCTTCATCCCATACCCAAATTTTTGCTTCAGACTTTTCTGTGCCCACGAGTGAGCACCCTGCAGCTCTGACGGTATGGGGTTTTGTCCCCAGAGTGTCTGGCTGGACAGGTCTGTTCTGCGTTTGCACAGCTGGTCCAATTTCCTGGCTGGTGGGTGACATAGTTGATCTCTCATCCCTAGGAGGCCATTCAGTAACTGGACACGGAGCTGAGGAACACCAAGTGGGAGATGATGGCCCAGCTCCGCGAGTACCAGGACCTGGTCAATGTCAAGATGGCCCTGGATATCGAGATCGCTGCATATAGGTGAGCCGGGCCAGGAGCCTCTGGGCGGCGGAGAGCCCTGTGTTCTGATGAGACGCTAAGCCTTAGGCAGCCTGCCTATTTTATATACAAGTCTTTTGTATTGTGATAAAATATATAACATAAAATTTGTTAATTAGCCATTTAAAATACCCAGATCAGGGCCGGAGATTTAGTTCAGTGGTTCTGCCACCTGCCTCGCAAGCTCAAGGACCTGAGTTCAATCTCTGGTACCCAAAAAAGAAAAAACAAAACAAAACAAAAAATACACAGTTCAGTGGTGTCACATACATTTCCATTTTGTATAACCTTCACCACCAGCTATATCCAGAACGGCTTTTTTCATCCCAAACTCAAACTCCATACCCCTTAAGCAATAACTCACTATTCTTCTTTTACTTTGGTCCCTGGTAACCACCATCTATTTTCTGAGAGGCAGAAATCATGAGATTGACTTCTTTTCATTCTGACAGTGACTGAGAGCTTTAACCTTGGCTAAATCCCAGCCAGACAGAGGCTTGCGTGGAGAAAGAGGTACTTCAATCGTCAGGGCCTTTAAGAAACTCTGGTTTGGGCCGGGGATTTAGCTCAGCGGTTCGGTGGCCTGCCTTGCAAGCACAAGGACCCGAGTTCAATCCCCGGTACCAAAAAAAAAAGAAAAAAAGAAAGAAACTCTGGCTTTTACAGTTTCTTAGCTCTGAGCATTTGTTTCTTAGGTAAATAAGATGGAGATGGTGGTAACAGTGTCTACATCATGGATTGTTGAGAGGGTAACTATTCACCTGCTAATCAGGTGACATAGGTAGCACTGGCTAATCACAGAGCACTCCATAAGGGTGAGAAAGCTTGTGACCTAAAATGAGGCCTCTGAGCTCAGCAGGGGTGACCCCATCAGGTACCTAACCAGTTGCTGTCTGGTAACTCTTAGCTTCCCGTCTCTTGGCTCTGCTCTGTAATCTTGCTACTCAAAATGTGGCTCATGGGCTGGGTATTTAGCTCAGTGGTACCACGCCTGCCTCAAAAGTGTAAGATCCTGAGTTCAATCCCTGGTACCAAAAAAAAAAAAAAAGACATGACTCAAAATGTGGTTCATGATCCGGCAGAATCAATACCATACAAAATCATGTTAGAAAGATAGGTTCAGGCCTTGCCCCAGGCTGCCAGAGGGGAATCTGCATTTTAACAAGATCCGAGGTGATTTCTGTGCTATTAAAAATGAACAGCACTGGTTTGGGAATGTTCTTCTTACACTTACTCTAAGGCAGGGACTGTGCCAATTCCTTTTTATTCCTTATCTCACTGAAATAACCCTCTGAGGTAGGGAACGTTATGGCCACCTATTAACAGTAAGGAAATTAGAAAACAACAACAACAGCAACAACAACAACAGGGCTGGGGATTTAGCTCAGTTGTTCCACCGTCTGCCACACAAGCACAAGGACCTGAGTTCGATCCCCGGTACCAAAAAAAAAAAAAAAAAAACGAAAAGCCAGTTAGGAAATTGTGGCCTTAACACATTCATGATGGGGCCATAATTTGTATGTCTTGCTTCCAGTGATTCATGCATGACTGTCCCAACCAATGGGACAGTCGTGGATATACCACGGTGGTGTTAAGAGTTTGAATGAACAGGGCATAGTAGTGCACATCTGGAATCCCACGACTTGGGAGGCTGAAGCAGGCAGGTCACTGCAAGTTGGAAGCCAATCTGGGCTACACAGTGAAGTTGAAGGCTAGCCTGAACTACATAACAAGACCCTGTCTCAAAACAAATAAAAACAAGAGTCTGGCCAGCTGTGGTGGCACACGGCTGTAATCCTGGCACTCGGGAGGCTGAGGCAGGAGGATCGCTGTGAGTTCGAGACCAGCCTGGGCTACATAGTGAGTTCCAGGTCAGTCTCAACTATATAGTGAGACCCTGTCTCAAAAAACAAAACAAAACAAAAAACAAAAAACCAAGAGTCTGACTGGCTTAACAAGGTCACACCATCTAGTGAGTAGCAAAGTTAGGAGGAGAAACCGTTGCCATCAACCTATTTTTTTTTCTTTTCTTTCTCTTTTTTTTTTTTTTTAATATTTTGAGACAGGGTCTCACTAAATTGCTCAGGCTGGACTCAAACTTAGAATCCTCCTGCCTCAGCCTCCCAGAGTGTTGGGATTACAAGTGCATCCCACCATACCCAGCAACCACTGTATTCTTAAAACTCAAGGATGACAATAAAAAATAACTGGAGGGCCAGGCATTATTGGCACACACGTATAACCCCTGGGAGGCTGAGTCAGGAGGATTGCCATGAATTCTAGGCCAGCCTGGGCTATGTAGTAAGTTTAAGGCTAGCCTGAATTACAGAGCAAGAACCTGTATGCCAGGAATTTAGCTCAGTGGTTCCAGCACATGCCTCATCCCCAGTACCAAAAAAAAAAAGTAACAGGAGGAATTCAAATGGCAATATTCTAAGAGCTCTTAAGCTAAACTTATGTGAAATTATTTGCTCCCAGCTCTCCCCCTGCCCCTTCTCTGCACAATGCTGCAGCCCCAGCCTCCCAGCTTTCTCTTGAGTACTATTTTAGTTGTAATTTTTGTTAATGTAGGTCCTCTCACTTGACCATTCTTCAGTGGGGAGAAAACTGTGTTATTTCATAAACTGCAGCATTAGGTGCAAACAAGAGCAGCCCCCTTGGTGTACGGTTTGTGGGTAGTCACTGAAATGATCTGCTGATCAGTCTCCAAGTGCCTGCCACTGAGGCTGGCGCTTAAGGGTAGAATCCATGCTTAGCATGTGCAAGGCCCTGCATTTAATCCCTAGCACCTAAATAAAGAAATTCAAAGTGTCTACCAGTAATTACAAAAAGTAATTAAAAGAAAAAGAAATGCCTGCTATTCATTTACATTCCTCCCTTCACCACTTCCTCCATTCACTCACTGCATGCCATGGAGTTTCAGAAAAATTTAGGAAAACCCAAAACCAAAAATTAACTCATCTGCTTTGAGTTAATAGTAATGTGCTCCATTATCCTTCTACAGAAAACTCCTAGAAGGCGAAGAATATCGGATCGGCTTTGGCCCAACTCCTTTCTCTCTGTCAGAGGGACTCCCCAAAATTCCCTCCACACCCACTCACATAAAAGTCAAGAGTGAAGAGAAAATAAAGGTAGTAGAGAAGTCAGAAAAGGAAACTGTGATTGTGGAGGAACAGACAGAAGAGATCCAAGTGACTGAAGAAGTCACTGAGGAGGAGGAAAAAGAGGCCCAGAAGGAGGAAGAAGGAGGAGGAGAGGAAGAGGAAGCAGCAGCAAAGTCTCCCTCAGCAGAAGAGGCCAAATCCCCAGGAAAGGAAGCCAAGTCGCCTGTGAAAGAGGAGGCCAAATCACCAGATAAACTCAAGTCCCCAGTGAAGGAAGAGGCCAAGTCACCAGCTGAGGTCAAGTCTCTGGAGAAGGCCAAGTCACCAGCTGAGGTCAAGTCTCCAGAAAAAGCCAAGTCCCCTGTGAAGGAAGAGGCCAAGTCACCAGCTGAGGTCGTCTCCGGAGAAGGCCAAGTCCCCAGTGAAGGAAGAGGCCAAGTCACCATCTGAGGCCAAGTCTTCAGTAAAAGAAGCAAAATCACCAGCTGAAGTCAAGTCTCCTGAAACAGCCAAGTCACCAGTAAAGGAAGAGGCAAAATCACCAGTTGAGGTTAAGTCTTCTGAGAAGGCCAAGTCCCCAGTGAAGGAGGAAGCAAAATCGCCAACTGAGACTAAGTCTCCTGAGAAGGCCAAGTCCCCAGTGAAGGAAGGAGTGAAGTCCCCTGAGAAGGCCAAATCACCAGTAAAGGAAGAGGCCAAGTCTCCAGCTGAGATGAAATCCCCTGAGAAGGCCAAGAGCCCAGTGAAGGAGGAAGCCAAGTCCCCTGCAGAGGCCAAGTCCCCAGAGAAGGCCAAATCCCCTGTGAAGGAAGAAGCAGAGTCGCCTGAGAAGGCCAAGACTCTTGATGTGAAGTCTCCAGAAGCCAAGACTCCAGTGAAGGAGGAAGCAAAGTCCCCTGCAGGCACCAAATCCCCTGAAAAAGCCAAAAGCCCTGTCAAGGAGGAGGCCAGGTTCCCAGAGAAGGTGGCATCTCCTGCAAAGGAGGATGCCAAGGCTCCTGAGAAGGAAGTCCCAAAGAAGGAAGAGGTGAAGTCCCCCGAGAAGGAGGAGAAGCCCCAGGAAGTGAAAACCAAAGAGCTCCCAAAGAAGGTGGAAGAAAAGGTTCCAGCCACACCAAAAAGTGAGGAGAAGGAGGACACCAAGAAAGGTGAAGCTCCCAAAAAGGAAGCTCCAAAGTCTGAGGCTGAGGAGAAGAAGGAGGCTGCTGTAGAAAAGCCCAAGGAATCCAAAGCTGAAGCCAAGAAGGAAGAGGCTGAAGATAAGAAAAAAGCAGTGACTCCAGAGAAGGAGGCTCCTGCCAAGGTAGAGGTAAAGGAGGAGACTAAACCCAGGGAGAAGACTGAGGTGGCCAAGAAGGAGCCAGATGACGCCAAGGCCAAAGAACCCAGTAAGCCGGTAGAAAAGGAGCCAGAAAAGCCAAAGAAGGACGAGACACCAGCAGCACCAGAAAATAAAGACAGCAAAGAGGAGAAGGCCACAGAAGCCAGGAAGCCCGAGGAGAAACCTAAGGCCAAGGATGATGACAAGAGCGTCTCAAAAGAGCCCAGCAAGCCCAAGACAGAGAAGGCTGAAAAATCCTCCAGAACAAACCAAAAAGACAGCAGGCTGTCAGAGAAGTCTGCAGAGGACAAGGCCACCAAGGGCGAGAAGTAAGCAGAAGAGAGAGGAACATCCAGAGCAGCCAAGAAACTCAGGATGGTCCCGGAGTTCAAGAGTCAGTGTATGGAATTTTCATTTTTCTCCTTTTTCTTCCTGTAAGAAGAAACTCTGCTTTGATGTCATAAGTCTGCAGAGGACAAGGCCACCAAGGGCGAGAAGTAAGCAGAAGAGAGAGGAACATCCAGAGAAGCCAAGAAACTCAGGATGGTCCTGGAGTTCAAGAGTCAGTGTATGGAATTTTCATTTTTCTCCCTTTTCTTCCAGTAAGAAGAAACTCTGCTTTGATGTCGGGCCCTTGTTCACCAAACAGGAACTTCTATTAGCAATATGTTAGCCAGAGAGGGCACTCCCAGCCCCCCGGATCCGTGCCCCAAACCCTCCCCAGGCAATGGGCGATTCTGTTATGATAGCTATGTAGCCAAATGTGACGTGTGCCCAGTGCCACACGTAAACACTTGACTACAAAAACTGCCCCCTCCTTTCCAAATAAGTGCATTTATTTCCCGTATGTACAATGGACAGACGACCGCAATAATGAATGAGCAGTTAGAAACACATTATGCTTAAAGATGTCTTAATCTACTCCCGAATGCCTTCTGTTTTCCAAAGGAGCGGCTGAGCCCTGACCCAGTGCTCTCTATCCTGGGAGAGTTGAAGCAGGTGGGGCTGGGCACCGGCCACTTAAGTCACACCAGGGCGCACTTTCCACGGAGTCCACCTTCAATTGCTTCTGTGCAATAAAACCAAGTGCTTCTACAATGGGAATGTGGCTGCTGTTAGTTATTCTCTTCCCCTGGGCAGGCTGGGGGAGGGGCAAGGGAGGTCTAGCTGTCACATACGTGTCCGTGAGGGGCTGAGCAAGGGTCATCAGAGTTCTCTTGTGCGTCTGGGACCAGTTACACGGCCTGTCCGGTGCTCTTTCCTGGGCACAAATGATGTGCTAGGTAACATGCTAGGTGCTTTATTTTTACCATCTGGGGTGTGGCTGCTCAGTGTGGTCCACGGGCACCTTGGTCCGTGTCACCAGGATGCCTTATAAACATGCGGACTTGTGAGCCCACCCTGGGCAGCTGATTCACAGTCGAAGCGGGAGGCCTGGGAAAGTGAGTGCTTGAGCTACTCACAGTCGATTCTAATAATGTACACTGCCGCTGGGGAGCAGTGAGGTCCAGGAGGACTTTGAATAGTCTGTAGGACTTCGAGTGATAGTGGGAAGAGGTTTATGCACATGGGCTATACATAGCTAATAAATTCGTCTGTACTGAAACCTACAACAACCACTTGATTGGGAACAGTTTACCAAAAGTCAACCTAATTGATCTCCAGTGTGCTGCCCTGGACATGATTTTGAAAACTGGTCCTCTTAAGAGATTTACATGAGGGTCTCTGTGAAATATGGAGTTTCTAATTATAGAGCTGTCAAAAAACAAACAAACAAACATAGATTACTCATACAACTGTAACTTTGTTTTGTTTTTTGTTTTGGTTTTTTGAGACAGGGTCTCACTATGTAGTTGAGACTGACCTGGAACTCACTATGTAGCTCAGGCTGGTCTCGAACTCACAGCGATCCTCCTGCCTTAGCCTCCCGAGTGCTGGGATGACAGCCATGTGCCACCACACCTGGCTGTCTGAGTAATCTAAAGCATTTATAATAACATTTTTGAGATGTCCATGTTTTTATATTAATTTCCTCCAATCCACTTCAGCATTTCTTCAAAGTAGATATTATGATGCCTATTTTAGTGGTAAGAAAACAGATGAGGTTAAAAAAATAAACAAAACAAAACAAAAATAATAGATGAAGTGATTACCTAGGACTCAACTAGTAAGTGGGATAGTCAGAATTTGAAGTCAGAGCTTAACTGCAGAGTCCTTATGTTTTCTGTAGTATCATGCCATCAAATCCTGGGCAAGCTGCTTTGGTATTTCATTGGCTTAGTTTTAGTCATCAAATAACTGCTATGTAAAGTGATAACTGTCCCAATTTGCCTGGAATAAAGGAGTTTCCTAGGACACAAGTCTTTTAGAGCTAAAACCAGAAATGTCTTTGTCAAATGGAGATGAATTGTAGCCCCTCCCTAAAACGAGAGAGAGAGAGAGAGAGAGAGAGAGAGAGAGAGGAGAGAAATGAACTCAGCAGCAACTATGGAAACTACCTAGAAATCTACATTGATAAGTGTAGTGGGATAGTCAGAATTTGAAGTCAGAGCTTAACTGCAGAGTCCTTATGTTTTCTGTAGTATCATGCCATCAAATCCTGGGCAAGCTGCTTTGGTATTTCATTGGCTTAGTTTTAGTCATCAAATAAGCGCTATGTAAAGTGATAACTGTCCCAATTTGCCTGGAATAAAGGAGTTTCCTAGGACACAAGTCTTTTAGAGCTAAAACCAGAAATGTCTTTGTCAAATGGAGATGAATTGTAGCCCCTCCCTAAAATGAGAGAGAGAGAGAGAGAGAGAGGAGAGAGAAATGAACTCAGCAGCAACTATGGAAACTACCTAGAAATCTACATTGATAAGTATATGAGGGCAAAAAATGGACAACTTCAAGGATATAAAGTCTTAGAAAATTCCTATAAAATACTGTTGAATACGATCCAAAAAATAATTACATAAACCATGTAGCTGAGTGGTAAATCACGGGTTAAGCATGCTTGGGGCCCAGGGTTCCATCCCCAGCTGCACAAAACAATTGTACAATCTAAAAACTACAAGAAATAGAAAACATCTAAAGGGGTAGGGGAAGTGGGAGAGATAGGGGAAAGAAGGGAAAAGAAAAATTATGAGAAAAGGAAAAACATGGAAACAAAGTCTTTGTAAATAGGGAAAGGTGGAGGGGGTGAAGGGAGGGCAGGGGAATGGGGAAAAAATAACCAAGATAATCATGTAAAGCTACAAGATCCTAATGATGAATATACTGCATTGTATACCTAAAATGTACCAATAAACTTAATGGGGAAAAAAAAAAAGATATAGAGGGCCAGGGATTTAGCTCAGGGGCGCCATGCCTGCCTAGTGAGCACAAGGTCCTGAGTTTGATCCCGATTACAAAGAAAGAAAGAAAGAAACAGAAACACTAGAACTACAGAAAATAGGACTACAACAAAGACTAGAGAAAGAACTCTTCAGGGTGATGACAGAGGGAAGTTAAAAGATAACAGTTGTGCAGCTCCTCCCCGGCCTGGAGTGGCTGTGCGGGAAGAGGGGATTTCCAAAGAAAAGCACTGAGCTGACAGATTATTTGACATGATTGCCTACGTGTAAATCTGAGTCAGAAGGCTTTTACTGAGCTATGGGAGACTGTGGGACAAGTCCATTTAAACAAACATGAGACATAATAAAAGTGAAGCAATTAACTGCAGGACAGACAAAACAAGTGTGATAGGAAGTATAATTGTTAATTTTTAAAGCTTTTCCCCCAGTGTTTGGAATCAAATCTAGGGCCTCATTCACGCCGGGGAAGTGTTCTACCCCTGAGTCACATCCCCAGTGCAAGGAAGTATGATGATGATACATTAGATAAAAATGGTTTCACAACAGTAACAAAAACAGCAAATATCAAAAAGTAAGGTTAAATATACAGGATGGTTGGGGTAAGGGAAAGAGGGGTATAAATGGATCAAAAGCATTCATTTCTGCATGAGGCTTTGATCCTCAGTACCACTTCAAAAGAAAAAGAGAGAGAGCCACCAGACGTCTAGGTGTGGTGGTGCACACCTGTAATCTCAGTGCTTGAGAGGCTGAGACAGGAAGATCACGGCGAGTTTGACAACATAAGGAGACCATGTCTCAAAACCAACCAACCAACAAACAGACAAACCACTCATCTGTCATAATAGAAACTCTGGGGAGAATGCTTGAACTTAATAAATTTAAAAATAAGTAGAGACCAGAGGAGACTGAAGAGACAGAAGACAAAAGTGACTGTGGTTTCCTGGACTGGATCTTGGAACATCAGTGAAAAGACCAGTGAACTCTAAAGAAAGGCTGTGATTCAGTTATTAATAACACACCAGCATCCATCTCTTAGTCTTGGCAAATGTGCAGCCATTGTAAGATGTCAGCACGAGGGGGAAGTAGGTGAGGGTATCCAGGACCTGTCCGTGCTACCTCTGCCACTTTTCAGTAAATCTAAAATTGTTTCAAGCCGGGCGCAGTCAGAGCATCCATCTCTTAGTCTTGGCAAATGTGCAGCCATTGTAAGATGTCAGCACGAGGGGGAAGTAGGTGAGGGTATCCAGGACCTGTCCGTGCTACCTCTGCCACTTTTCAGTAAATCTAAAATTGTTTCAAGCCGGGCGCAGTGGCACATGACTGTCATCCCAGCATTCAGGAGGCTGAGGCAGGAGGATTGCTGTGAGTTTGAGACCAGCCTGAGCTACATAGTGAGTTCCAGGTCAGTCTCAACTACATAATGAGACCCTGTCTCAAAAAAAAAAAAAAGCAGGTGTAACCAGTCAAAGTAAATAGGGATCAAAACAGCGTCTGGTCCAAATTCCTAATTAACAGAGATGAGGAAACTGAGGCCAGAGAAAGGAGGTTGCACAATTACAAACAATGGATATAAGAGCTATAATTTTCCATTAGTTGTATATAGAAATATGGACTACAGGTATACAAATTTTGAGGGAGAGCAGAAGCGGGGATTGAACCTAGGGCCTTGTGCATACTAGGCAAGTGCTCTGGCATTGAGCCATATCCCTTGCCCTTTTTCTCTAAGACACGGTCTCACTAAGTGGCCAAGGCGAGTCTCGAACTCTGATCCTTTTGCATCGGCCTCTTCTTTATTCTTTTCCTCCTGCCTTTGTCCTCCTTGGAAACACACTACATGGCCACCCCAAAACTAGATGCTGTGGGTGTTTGGAATATCGGAAGCTCCAATCCCCCAGGCTCAGCCCGGTTCACTTCATGACAGATTTGCAGGATGACCACAAGTAGCTCAGAAAGGGCAGGAGGGCCTCACCTGGCTGCCTCTCCACTTTCTCCTAAGCAGGGACGCTCTCAGTGCACTGGTACGACTAAGATGGCCTATGCCAACCGGATTGA